TTCTGGATCAAGTGTCTGGATGCAATGCTGGAAAACAGATGCATGTTCTAAGTTATATGTGAAGAGCTTTAGTAACAGCTAAATATGGAAGGCTACAGGAGAGAAAGGCCGGTGAAAGGTAGTTTAACACCTAGTGGATAATGGATCAGCAGTCGGAGCAGCAAGAAGAGTAATGGGGAAGGAAGTGGAAGACAACAGAATGGCAGCCCGTGATGTCTATCTGAAGGCTTGTCTCAAGTTCTGAAGTCCTCATCCTCATTTTATGAGTCATTGTAAATTTCCACTTCCTACTTCGACCATAAATTTTCAACACACTAGATAAATGGACGATTTATATTTATATTTATAGTTCCACATTCAATAAATTATTGAAGTCTTTCCAATTCAGATAAATGAATCCATCTAATTGTTTTTTCTCAGTACATACATACAAGGGATTCCAAAATAAAATGAGAAGTTTATAAATTATTTTAAGAATTTTGTGAGGGTGCCCAAGGTGCAGTCACCACAGTAGGAATGGGTAAGGACTACTTTACATAAAAGATTATAGTGTTAGTGGTCTCTATGCCAGACTCTGGGTCAGGTTTCCTATTTTAGGATGGATTATATAAACATCTGGATCTAGTTTGGTTTTCTTGTCACTACTGGCAAGCTAGGACCACTGGTTCAATCTGTTGTTAGAGAAATGAAGTTTCCTTGGGAAATAATTAACAGGGGGATGAAAGTCAAAATGCTGGTTTTGTTAGGGCACTGAAACTGATTGTGCCTAAAATCCATCTCTACAGATAGGCAATATGACAGAAAGGAAAACAAACTGGATTGGTTTAGAGTAGGGGATTTTGTGAAATTTTAGTTCTGTAAAATGATGACAATCATAGCTAAAAAAAAAAAAAAAACTACATGAAAATAATTAATACTTAAGCCAAGTGTTTAGTTGTGAGCAGAAGCTCACTACAGGTTGGAATATGACAAGATAAAACCATATTCTTAAACTTTTCCAAGGCATTTCTCACTCTATAGTAACTAAAAATGCAGAATTTGAAACCTACACCAAGGATTCTGTTCTTATACAATGCCTAAATTTAAGAAGGATGAGATATGTTGGACGGTTGTACCTCCTGGCAGATGTGGCATTATGGTCCATGCATATAAATGCAAATACCCAGATAAAATGAACACTCTCACATTTGTACCACAAAGAATAAAAACATTTCTAATGAGTCAGCCAAGTGGGCCATGAAGGCACATGGAAGGAAGTGGTCATAAAAACTTGGGAGATAGGAATTGACAGTAAGTGTTCAAAAGACTAAAATCTTTGAGGATAGAAGATTAAAACAAAATTTAAGAATCCCAATTCTAGCTGGGTAGTGGTGGGGCAGTCTGGTCTACAGAGCGAGTTCCAGGACAGCCAGTTCCAGTTTCAAACAACAGTAACAACAACAAAAACAAAACAGACAAAACAAGAATTGCAATTCTTAGCACAGTGATTGCATAAAACAGGAATTGCAATCCTTAGCACAGTGATTGTGTGATTTTATGGACACCACCTGCATGCAAGATCCCACAAAGCAGAGAGAATACTGGATCCCAGGAAGCAGAGGTACAGACAATTGTGAGCCACCATGTGGGTTCTGAGAAATGAACCAGGCTTTCTGCAAGAGCAACAAGCATGCTTAAGCACTGAGCCATCTCTCCAGCTTGATAGTTTAGCATTAGCATTTTCTATCATTTTATAATTTTGTCATTAAGTTTCCAACTAAACTTACTGGGATTGAGAAATTTTCCATGGAAATGTATTTCCAATTTTGTAATGGTACTCAATCAGAACATACAATCTATATGGGAGAACTTGTTTCAAAGCCAACTTGCTTAACATCTATTCAGCAAAGCAAGGGATACTGGCACTGGGGAGCCACACAGGCCTAGGGGAAAACAAAATCCCAATAAGCATGCCAAATGTGTTTCTATATTTCAAGACTCCTTCAACAGAAACATTATGGGAAGATAAAAATTAGGAACACTGAACTTAACTAATTTAAAATGTTGAAAAAATATTTTGCATTTATGTTTTATAACCAAGTGCTTTCCCCACATTTGTCCCAAGGCAGCAGATGAAGCTCTATATCCACCACTGCTAATACTAGCAATTGGAACATGCTCTTTGGCAAGGCAGAAATAAGATAATTGTTCAACATAGGCTGGCTTTTCAGAAATACTGGAAGCATTGCCTGTAATTATAGACATCTGTCACTGCTAGCCACTCAGTACTAACCCTGACATCAATATACAACCATAGCACTAAACTGCCCGCAGGCATAGCAATGGAGACCAGATACGCTAGGCAGGCAATCATCTGCTTCATCCAAACTATCTGTCAAAGGTTCCCAACCACAAATAGCTCTTACATTTTGTATCCTTAGGATAATATGTTGATTTATTTTAGATTCTCTAATATTTACAGTCTAGGCCATCTACTAAAATAAAGAAACAAAACTTATGGCTAATGGAGGCAGTTACTGTTCACAGTCATCATAAAAGGTCATAGCTCAACCCTCAAGTGTTAAAAATTGATGGCAGCTTTAACCATGTGCCATCATACAGATGTTTCCTTTTGTAGAGGCAATTATTTTCAATAGCAATTCAAAATGGTAAATACAATCTTTTATCAGCAAGTATGTTCTCACACTGATCTAATAGAAATGCTCATATTTTAAAGCATTTTTTTGAGATGTAACTATGGAAGAGGACTGTTACTTTTGATTTAGCTTTACAAATAGACCCTGATCTGGCATTTAATTGTGTATGTGTATGTGGTGCCTAAAAACTAGCAAATGATATTGAAGGATAAAATACTTGGTTAATGAATCAACTAACATAATTTTGCTCTACATAAAAACTCACAGAAATATACATGCACATGTGCATTTATATTTTTGAAAACCCAAAGATACACTATAAGCTTTAAAAGCCACTCTTTTTTTTTTCTTTTAAAAGCAGCTTT